CCCCAATTTGCGGTGATTTTAGAAAAAAACTTATTTGAATTTTGATAAATAATGTGGTTTCGTTATAATTGGATTTAGAAAATGGTAATAATTAGAATTTTAGAGTTGTATAATATGAATTTTAATGGATTATTCAAATACTATTCAATTGTAAATTTTCAATTAGGGTTTACCTAGAATTTGATGAAGTAAATTTGATATAGGGTTTGTCAGTTTTGAGGGCGAACAAAATACTCATTATTTGCTTCCTCAAGAAGACTAAGTGTTGGATTGAATTGTTTGCCCATATACAGGTGAGGTTCTAGAAAAATATTCATGTTATCTAAATCATGTAATTTCGATTGAATGATTAAGGAAATACACGTGGTTACTGGAATTAATCATGGAGAATATGCAACTACGATATTCTACAACAGTCCGATAAACATGAATAGAACAATTGTTATAGAGATCGCCAACGATCAAGAATGGATTGACATGAAACAACTCTCTGAAAAACAAACGTCAATGGAATTGTTCATTGAAAAATACGTATCATCAGTACATATACAGATGGGATGATTGACATTTGAGTATTATGGAGCAGATTGATCCTCCTCTTCAGCAATCTGATTTCATCAGGTGGTATTTGAGGATTACTAGAAGATTAATAATAAATCAGATCACAACTCCACTCGATGAACACAAAAAACGTACCTACAATGGAGATACATGCTCAGGGTTTATATAAGAGAGAACTTGTAAGTTAGTTACTAGCAAGTTCACTTGTTTCTTATTACTACAAATTGCTCATATATGTAACTTTTTGACTTAATTGTAGATAGACGTTGTTGATGATATTAAGGCCATTGCAAATCAAGATCCAACACTTTCTACGATAGGAACATATCTAGGAGTACATACATGTATGTATCAGTGAATAGTGTGAAGAGTTCGTAAAACTTTGAATCAACCTCATGAGGATCTTTATGATGGTCGAGAGGTGATGGTGGAGGAGGGTCTCTTACACGCATGTCAACCAAATCAACGGAGACAAGAAGGATCTTACAGGAACGACAATGAAGTTGGACTGTCACTACCAAACATGCAATTGGACAACGAGCTTGTCATGCAAGCTCAAGTCCATGGAGGACGACGATGATTTGAGCGGGTAAGAAGAGGGAGACAAAGGGGAAGGGACAGAGTTATAGGTTGTATGTCATCGATTTATGGATTTTTTGTATTGACTCTATTTAAGTTATCGATAAAGGTTACTTGTAAACCAATACACTTAATATATTTGGTTTTGTTGCAATGTTTTGGTGTATAGAGATAATGTGTTGTCACAATATGTTAATCTATTGCAGGTTGTTACGATGTTTTGGATCGTTTAGAGGGGTATTAAGTTATGTACATGATTTTATGGAAATTATATATTTAATGTTTGGACATGTACACGAGATGAGTTAAAAGTTTTTTATGCATAGGAGATATTGTATATGTACAGGAGATAAGCTACAAGCATGCATGCATGTTTTGTGCATGTTCACAAGACACACCGGACTACTAGTCTCGTGTATTTTCTGGGTGGTCTATAAAATACACAGGACTACTGGGACTAGTAGGCCCATGTATAGTCTGGGCTTAATTTAACTCGTAATTAGCAATTGCTAATTACACGGGACTACTAGTCCCGTGTATTTTAAAGATGATATTTTGCAAAATCGACCTCTTTTTAGTCAGCCTTGACGACATGGTCAAAAAGAGGTCGATTTTGCTAGTTATTTTTTAAAAATGTTCTTCTTCAAAAAATTCTCCATTGGATTACACATTTCAGTCAATAATATGAGACCAAAATCCATCTTTAAAGTTATACTACCCAAGCAATAAACCACAACTTAACAAATTTGCATACCGGCTTGGATTGAAATGTTCCACGTTTAGATCCTCATCCCAAAGGAAAATATAATCATACTCTGCAACTATATCTGGGTGTAGAAAACGCTTTGCAAACCACCTATAGCATTTAACAAATATTAGTTTGCTTTCACTTTTGACAAGTGAGGGCATAATTGATACTACCATTTTGTTTGGTTCATTGCAGAGATATGCAAGGCTTTATCACTCCATGATAAGTCTCTCCATTTATTCACAATACCATCATAGTGGAATAGCATCACGATGAAATCACTGGAAGAGAACTGCAATATTGTTGAATATGTCAAATGCAGCTTGAAATATTGATAGGTGAAATATATAAACTGATTAGTTTGTTTGCACCTTCTTCACTATTTGATTAACGACTTCCTTTTGCTTTACTCCAACTGCAATGGCCAATAAGCTCTTAGACGGACTTTTATGACCCTGATTTAAACATACGACAGCATAAATGTCAAATATAAAAAATCATGAGATATAAATTGCACCATTGAACATTGGTAATCAGTATTTGAGGTGCTACATATTAAGTTATGTAATCCAGTGTGACAGATAACCATTACCAGTAACAAAAGTTTAAATTGATGGGTTTTGAGCTAATAATAAATATCAGCAAGTGTTAACTCTTACACTTCTCAAATTAGTCGTTTATTGGGGATGGAATAAAACATACAGAAAAAAACCCCAAACAAATTCAAATATACATCAGACATTTCAAAAATTCCATTCAGTGCTTCAGATTGGTGTAATTTCTGTTCAGGTTGAAAAATCCCCCTAATATCACTCAATACTTTTGGTGTAATGAATTTTCTTGGAAACAAATTTACAAATGCTAAGGTATTGAATAGTAGAGGTGATTTAGGTTATCAATATCACCCAATACTTTCTTCTGAGAAGGTGCATAATATGAAAAACAATTGCAATTTATTCAAACCTTTTGTTTTGGTGAAGGCAGAGAGCCCCATAGCGGCTGCATCTCCAAGTTTGATGTTCTCCTAATTATTCCTTTAGGCAACGGTTCACTCCCTGAAGGCTTCCCTTGAATCTAAAAGAAATTTGAATAAATACCATCAATATCTAGATACGTTTTAGTATAAATATAAGACAAAATAAACTTCCAAATGTTTTTGAGGGAAATAAAGTTCCAAGATTGACAAGAGCATGTTGTGCTAGTCAAGAGAGAACCTCGCATGAACTGTGTATTATATTCTGTAGTATCCCCATTGTTGGTTCCCATTTTGATACTTTCTGTACACATAAATATGATAAGTTGTTTATATGTAACTGTAAAAGATGCTTTAATTATATAAAAATAAAAAGAAAAGGGGGTTATCAAGTATTCATCCAAGAGAAGAAAGATTGCAGAAACCAGAGAAATAATTCTAACCAAATAACAAAAAGTCAGAACAGCGTGTGAGAATTACAAATAAATATGAGAAACTACACAGTCCGTTATGCTCGAATACTGAATCATATTAGATTCAGAGTTTAACTTTAGGAGCAAAAATATTTATAGTAGCACAACAAAGTCATGAGAGAATTACAAACAGATTTAACAACTATACGCTTCCTTATGATGGAATCATGGAACAGTGTAATAATTTTTAAATTCACAGTTACAGAAAAGGTAAAATTATCATTAACCGCATATACTCCACTCAAAATAAATAATATTGGCATACCTCTTTATAACCAAAATTTACAAAAGAACTCCCAATGAAAAAGAGTATACAGACGAAAGCAGCTGCAGACAACAACTTGCAAAAGTAAAGTCTCCTCCTTGGTAGGTCAGGTAGTAGAGTACTCTGTTATGAGAAATCCGAAGTAGGTGAGTATACAATCCAAAATAGTGATCAAAAAAAGTAATTAAACATGAGAATCATGAAACTAGCCTGAACTTTGATAATTTCCTAGTCAGTAACTTGGTCGTATAGTAATATATTTCGATAATTCAATAGTATTGAAGAACAAAATAAATATTTTCTCAGCTATCATATTCCATGCATATCATAATTTTGTACAAACAAGTCCGAGGTAATTCTGTTATTGTTTAAATTCTTCAATTTAATTCTGTGATAAATTAAAAGCAAACAATCATACTCCCTTTAAAAGAACGAGTTCGAGAAAATCTTTTCATGGTCAATATTACCCTTAATTTTTTTGAGTATTATGTTGTTATCCTAATCTATTCTAATTATCTTATTTTCTTTAAATTGGTAATTAAATAATTTATCATATTCATAATAAGATTTAACATGTTATTGGATAAAGGAGATACATTTGATTTAATTCAAATCCTTTACTTATTTTAGTTCGCAGAGAAATCTAAAAAACATGTGCTAGCCAGCACCTAAAAGTTTTTTAACTTTATAAAAAATATCCTCCAAATTTTTTAAATTGCAAAAACATCCCTACAAATTCAAAATTTTATTAAAATATCTTGAAAATTATAAATTTTACTTATTTTAATTTAGTAAGAAATCTAAAAAATATATGCTAGCTAGCAACTAAACGTTTTTTAACTTTGTAGAAAATATATTATAAGTTTTACAAATTATAGAAACACCCCTAAAAATTCAAAATTTATAAAAAACACATTGAATATTTCAAACATATAAACACATTAAAAACCAACAAATAACACAAAAACCCCCAAAATTTATGGAATTAGCAATAAACACTCTGAACTTTTTACAAATTGTAAATAAAACTCTCAAAATTATAAAATTTATAAAAATCCTGATAATTTCTAACTTAACAATTCATTAAAAATATAGGAATTATAAATATCCCTTATATAATTTATAATTTAATAAAACACCCTTAAAGTTTTAAAAATTACAAACAAACCCTCAAAATTCAAATGTTATAAAAAACACCCTGAGAATTTTAAACTCATTAGTAAATTGAAAACATAGAAATTATAAATAGTCTATAAACAATTTACAATCTGTAGAAAAGGTGTATAAGTTTAAAAAATTGCAAAAAACCCCTAAAATTCATAATTTACAAAAAAACACCATGAGAATTTCTAATCAATAGACACTAAAATGAATATACAAAATTACTAACACCTCCTAAAAAATTAAAAATTTTCAAAAATTATCACTCCCTTTAAAACTATAGGTTTAGGAAAAACTTTTCATAGTCAATGTTACCCATAATTTTTTTGAAAAGAACATAACTAATTAAAAATCTATTAAGTTATGAAATTTATAAAAAAACACCCTTAAAGTTTAGTACATCATAAATTACCCCTCCAAAGTTTGAAATTTTCAATGATTTTTTTGTAATTCCTTAATTTCAATATAATGTCTAATAGTTTTGTGTATTTGTAAATTAAAAAATTTTAGGGTGTTTTTTAATAATTTTTAAAACTTTTGAGGTTGTTTATCTTGTAGTTTTCTAAATTTTAATTGTATTTTTAGTATAATGCATAGATACGTCAATTAATGATAATATTGAAGTGTAAGTCATTCATAAGATTATTAGGCTATAGTTAAGTGCGAACATCACTATTTCTAGGCAGTATAGTTTATATATGTAAAAAATTTTAGACAATCTATATAGTGGTTAAAAAGATTGTCTTTAATGTACTATATTTTATAAATTATAGTTAATATGAACTCATTATATAATTTTGAATGTAGTCATCATAATTTTAATACGTTTGGTTGATTGATTGTATATGTATATAGACCATAGATTAATTTACTTTATAACATGAACTAATATTTGGCGCGTAATAATTTAAATTGTTACTTTTAAGTTTAATATAAAGAGGAACTCTAATAACATTTATTTATTTACCTACATGATAATACAATCTCAGTTCTTATTTTTGGCTTGAGATTTATTCCATAGTTACGCGTATCAAATTAGTAACTAAAATAATAGTTATTTATGCTTAAATTAGGATGATTATAGTTGGTCACTCACTATGGAATATCCATGAAGATATATACCTTACTTTCTATAACTATCTGCACTGTCCATATATATTTTATAAATTAGTTATTAATTTGACATTTTAAGTACTTTTCCTTTGTAGAAATTTCTTCTTTGACTTTTGGATTGTGTAATCACTATATCACTATTCTAGCGTAGAAAGTACCTTACTCTAAATGGCTTCAAGCCAATGTTTGAGTTGAATTGAAGTATATATACTATTACTACTATGTGTATATATTTTTTAAGAAAATCATGTCTACATTTTTTTAACAGAAGAGAATATTCTAAATTCTGATATTATAAAAACTAAATATAGGTAATTGAGTGATTAGCAAAAGAGAACTTACTTCAGAAAAGCGTGAATAATAAGATAAAGAGGAAAGGTAATGATATTGCCAACAATACTACCATTAGCAAACTACAATATAAAGTTAACCTATTTTATAGAGCCCAACTACTACTATAAGCATTAAGACTTCCATATATATACTTTATAATTTATTAAAAAGAGTTATGTAATCTTATATAATAAAATTGATTTAATGCTAAATAATGATATCGTTGTAATAATATCGTTATTAGGGAAAATTCTTCATGAACTCATATGTTCTTTACGATATATAAGTTGTGCACTCCAAATTCTTGTGTCTTTTACACAGCCAAAATGTTTGAATGCGAGCCTCTAACATTTTGTTTTCACAATAGCAAAATTCACTTAGCAGATGCGGATATTCAAGATAAGTTATATGTCATATATACAATACAATTAGCCTAGGCAAGTAGTTATAATAGTATTTTTCATACACATCGTTTGGTGAAAGATTTGATAAGGACCTTGCATCAAAGAAAAAATAAAATTTTATATTTAGAGTACATGGCGCAATATATCATAATCTCCCTGCTCTAATTTCGCAAGAAAATAATTCTTTATACTTTTAATTTTACTTCTATGGTACAGAAAATGAGCTATAAAATTAAATGAGAATATTAGATAATGTAAATATGAGTAAAACTACAACTACAAGTTAATGTGAATATGAGTCAAACCACAACTAAAAGTTTAATGTACATATTACAAGTAAATTTATATGCAAAGTTTCTTTGCGAATTGAATGATCACCCATCTTTTGAAGACTTCAATATACTAATAAACAGATATGTTGTCGTAAATTAATGTATTTATAACTCATAAATAGTAGACCACATAACCATAGTCTCGATTGAATGAAACAATAACAATATTTTATTTAAGAAAGAGATTATTGAGTTGACAATCAATCCCACAAAAAACTTTATTATCTTTTGTATTTTTATTATATTTTTATCAATTTAAGTAATCATGATATTTAACCACGTGCATTACACGTGCATCTCAACTAGTCAATAGGAAAAGCATCACTGCCGAAATAAGATTTTCACCACTTAACAAGTGACGATTCCATCATCACGAACGAAACAAATTATTATCAACATATTCAAATTGATGAAAAGGTAAATGCCTTTTTCGTGGAAAAAAAAAGAAAACCACTCCACACAAAATTGATCATCAAAAGATTTCCATCAACGAGATTAGAGAGGAAAAATGGGTTCAAATATCCATGCAGAACAAAAACTATCATAATTTATAAAAAGTGATGATAACTTACAGCATGAATTTGAATAAAATTCTGGCAAATTAACAAAAACCCAGGAAAGGGATTGCACATGACTCCAACTTCTTCCGTAAGAAATCATTCATAACTTAAATCATTTAGAATTGGTTTCCTAGTTTTCCCCCTAATCCACAACCAAGCCATCTCAAAAATACTCCAAGTCCCCAAACTACGAAAACTTGTCCAAAGTACTGGAAAAGATTCAAACTTTTAGCAAATACAACCTCCACAAAAGAATATAAGAGGAAAAAAAAATCACTTACACAGGAACTGGGTAGCTTCATTTTCCTTAAATTTCCAACAAAAACCTGAAAAACAAACAGAACCCAGAAAAAGGGCAATTAAGCAAAGAAAAAAAATACCCATTGAAAGACACTAAAATTAGAAATAGAAAAACTCTCACCATGATCAAAAATCCATGAAACAAGAAGAATAAGCAGAAACTGGTTCTATGAAAAAGACAGAAGAAGCTGAGAAAAGAGAGCCCAGATGAAGAAACAGGCTGCTCGTTTAACAGAAATTTTTGGCTTTTGAAGGTTTTAAGGGGTTGGCAGAAGGAAAAAAGTCTCCTAAGAGCAGGAATTAATTATTTTTCGGAATTTTTAAGATGTCTGCATCAGCTTTCCCCATTATTTTTTCAGGGTTATTTGCATGTATACCCCTTACATCATGGATATTTACAAAAAATTCATTTAAATCTCAGCATTACAAAACTACCCCTTAAATATCAATTTTAGAAAAAAGAATTTACACTCAAAGTATTAAGTAATCAATTTTTACAAGCTAATTTGTAATCACAATGTACAAATGATCAATCATAGTTAAAATTTTAGCACCAAGTTGATAATCTGTGTATAACCCTTAAAATCATGGGTATTTACAAAAAATCCTTTAAATCTCAGCATTTACAAAACTACCCCTTAAGTGATCAATTTTAGAAAAAGAATTTATACTCAAAGTATTAAGTAATCAATTTTACATACTAATTTGTAATCACAATGTACAAATGATCGACCATAGTTAAAATTTTAGCACCAAGTTGATAATTTGTTGATTATAAAAGTTAAAATTTCAGTTATTTGCAAATACTAAGATTCGAGGGGTACAAATATCCATAATGTATGGGGTAAAGATGCAAAAGATCTCTATGTTTTATTAATCGTTTTTGGTGTTTTTCAGTCAAAGTAGAAGAGATGGGGTCGAGTTATTAGTGGCCGCAATCCAGGGCTCGGTTGGGTTTCTGGGACCCGCATTTAAAGTGGATGAAGACGGAAAGGGAGAATCTTGGTTCTTCTGTAGATTTTAGATTTAAAACTGTGTTTTTTTTTTAAATAATGCTAGGGGCACACCCTCAACCACACTTCCAAACACACCTCCACACTCTCTATAGTGCTAGTGGGCCATGCATGATATTTTTCTAAAAATATCATACATGGCCCACTAGCTGTCTTTGCCAAAATGCCATGTGCTAAATGACCAAAACATCCCTTATATATGTATCTAGATAAAATAGTTAATAAAAAAATCTATACTTGATAAAAATAAATCAATCGGGTGATAATAAGTTAGACAAACTTCCTACTTGTTTATCAGGTTTTACCCAACTAATATTTCTAGTTATGATATTACTTGTTATTTTCTTTTTCTCCCCCTATTTTTTTTCAAAATCATCAAATGGTAATAGTATATTTTTGCAATTTATGCTTAGGATATTTTGGCGGCCAGATATCAGAAAAACTCCCTGTGCTATGAATGATTATTAGATGACACCCTATAACTTTGAATATTATCAGATAAAACCCTATAACTTTCAAAATATTAGAAAGAACCCTTAAGTTTAGAAGATTATCAAAAAAAACCTCTAACTTTAAGATTTTTTTCAAAAAATTCCTCAAAAGGCAAGATCCACAATTTTCACTAACAAAAATATTCTCTGCATAACTTTACCCACCAATACGAAAATTTCCGATTAACACTGTGAGGGGAATTTATGACAACATCTTAAAGTTAAAAGGAGTTTTCTGATTGCCCCGAAACTTAGAGGTTTTTAATGATATTTTAAAAGTTATATTTTTCCAAAGTTAGGGGGCTTTCTAATTTTTAGCTTATTTTGGTTAAGAATAGTTAGAATGGTACATATATTTATACATAAGTTATAACATCGTGTATTTCTAAAATATTCGTCAATTTGGATGCAACAACAATTCTCATATCTTTCAAGTCATTCTTATTTTTTACAACAACGTGTAATAGATGGTAGAGATTATTAATAATAAATCTATTTCTTAATTGAAACGTTTATTAAATCAAGTTGCTAATTTTCTAACCCATCTTATTCCAGGATGATAACAGAAAATTTAATTTATGTCACGATATTTAATTCCCCCCACAGTTGCTTCAATGACTCATATTATTCAGTTGATCATATTTTATGTATTCAATTGTACATTGACCTTATCGATGATACATTCAGTTGATCATATTATTCAATTAATCAACCTTATCTAAAGTAGTTGAGCGATTACTATCACATGCAAAATAATTGATTTATAGGTAAGAAACTTCATTAGTCTTTCTCATATGACCTTATTAATACAAATTAGAGTTTAAGATAACCGCACGTGTCAAAAAGGAGTTTGCATATGTAGTTATCATCACTTGCAAAATTTAATCAACCAGTGTTTAACTCAGATTATTGATGTGCGCAAAAAGTTGTTTTTATCCATGAGAGATGAAATCTCCTCTTATAACTATTCAACAATAAATCCATTAAAATGATATGCTATAAAGTTATGAACTGGCAAGGCTCTGAACAATTTAATAGTTCCAGAATATATGAACCTAAATATGAGCATGGGAGTACAATTATTTATTGATAGAATTCATTTTAGGGCCTGTTTGGTTGCTTTTCTTCATTTTCCAAATATATATATTTCCTTCACTTTTCTGTGTTTCATAGACTTTCATGGAAAGTGTTTATTGTGTTTGTTTTGCCAAAAAACATGGGGTAAAAGCAATTTTCAACAGTTTCCTTAGCTTGGTTCAACTTGAAAAAAGAAGAAAGAAATTGATGTGTGATTAGAATCCCTCATTTTCTAGTGTTCGATTCAAATAAAAAATTCATGATTGTGGTCACCACGACGTGCTTACCACCCATATAAGACAAACTTGTTAGCAACAAAAATTGAGGGGTCATCTTACTTACCATCACACAAAAATGTTTAAAGATTTGAGGGACTATTTACCAAAAAGGTTTAGAGATTGAGGTAGTAATTTGCAAAAAAAATTAAAGATTTAAGGGGTTAATTTTAAAATATGAACATTTGAGGGACAAATTTTTAAACGTTTAAAGATACGAGGGAGTAATTTGAAAAAAAAAAATGATTAAACCCAACCTTGCTTTGTACTCCATGTCTTTCAGCTATACTCCATGTCTTTCAGCAATAATATTGGTGGTTGTTGGGTCATTTCGCAATAGTTACGATATTGCATTTAGAAATTATTCTAAAAATTAGGACATTGGCCAATTTGTGAAGAATGATAGGGCATAAATCCCATGTTTAACCCACCAGGGATTGATGAATTCCCTGTGGTTCTAGGAGATGAAGTTGATGTCCTACTTTTGCCTTTGCCCTTATCAAGTTCTTGATAATTGAAGTTGTCAGCCATACCTAGAAAATAATTATAGAGAATTACATAAAATAAATACAAGTTGAGTAAAAAATATGTCCTTTGAGAAAAGTCCATACAACACATAAGATCATCATACAAATGTTTCCTAATGAACGTTATATAGTTTGTGAGTGGGGTCCACCCACATGCTGTGTGAGGAGATAATGAGCTCTGGCTAACACCCACGCGAGAGTCATGGGCTGAGTTCGGCGTGGGCCCACCCGAGATGATCAAGTCCTATAAATATTTGGTGTTCCTAGGGTTTTTTTATTATGAGGGGTTTACTCGGCTGCAGAAAGAAAAAAACGCAGAGGAGAGGTTTAGCCGGCTATTAAGAAGAAAAACAGAGGGTTTTTTTGAGGAGAAAAAAAGATAGTTTTTTTTTCAGATCTAGAAAAGAGAGATCTTGAGGAGAGAAAAAGAGGGATTTACAAAAGAGAGGTCAATTTCTTTTGAGTAAAAATTAGATATTTTTTCTTTGAGACGAGCTTGTGGATTGTACAAGTTGTCGGTGTTCTTCTCATAGTGGAATCTCCCCTCATCCCCTCCCATGGACGTAGGTAAGTTTGTCGAACCACGTAAATCTCGTATATTTATTGTTTTCTGGTATTGGGTATTGCTTGTAGGTTCCCTCGACATTTTAATCCTAGAACTGATGAGAGGAAGAGTGCGTATTTCATTTTGTTAAAATATTTCACTTTCTATTCTAGTCTCCTTTGAGAAACAAGAATTTCACTATCTATTCTAGTTTCCTTTGAGAAACAAGAATATAGAGGTTGACTTGTACTTTTGTGATAACAAAAGCCAGGGCTTTCTCTCAGGTGATATCGCTTCCGCGGCGGTGGGCGTGACTCCGCGCCCAACAATTGGTATCAGAGCTGTTATTCAGATTAGGAGTGGTGTAGCTTCTGATTTGAGGTGGTGCTTGGAAATTTCTTGAGAGAAGCGGATTCATTAATACAAGCGGAGAATGACGTCAACTAGCAAAACAGTTAAAGTGGGAAAGTACGAGATTGAAAATTTCAATGGGAAAATGATTTTTCTTATTGGAGGATGCAGATGAATAACTCGTTGATTTCGCAGAAATCGCACAAAGCTTTGGCGGGAAAAGAGAAGAAGCACAAGGATATGTCTAATGAGGATTAGGAGGAGCTGGATCTGAAAGCACGGGCGTCGATTATCCTTTGCCTTAAAAGTAATGTAGCTTTCTTGGTAGATGGAGAGGAAACGGCTACGGGCGTGTGGTCGAAGTTAGAAAGCACCTTCATGACGAAGAGTCTAACGAACCGGATCTATTTAAAATCTAAATTGTAAACTTGCAAGATGGAGGATGGCTCATCAATCCGGGAATACATCAACAAGTTCGATAGGATAATATCAGATTTGAAGGACATCGATGTGACTGTAGAAGACGAGGATCAGACGCTTCTACTACTTCTATCTCTGCCAAAGTCTTATGAGAACCTGGTGCAAACACTGATGCTTGTGGGAAACAATTTGACGATGGATGAGATTAGAACGGCGCTTCTAGCGGATGACCTTCAAAAGATTGCAACCAGTGATATGACTACTGGTGGTAGCAAAAAAACAAGCGCAGGGATTGTTTGCCAGAAGAATGAGCAATGAGCGAGGAAAAAACAAGGGAGGAAAGTCTAGATCTAAATCGAGACCTCTTACGAAGTTGGACATTTTAAGGTCGACTGTCCAAACAAGAGAGTAGGTGGGAAGAAGAACAACAACAAGACTGAGAGGAGAGAAGGCAAAGAAGAAGTGAGTTATGCTTCAGAGAAAGGGAGCGATAAAGAATGCTATGTTATTACGGGTGGCAAAGATATCTCCGGTAAGTGGATACTTGATTCCGGTTGCTCTTACCACATGTGTCCAAATAGGAAGTGGTT